ATACTCCAGCCAAAGAACAAGAAGTTCCTCCACAGAATAGACAGGGCAGCAGCCAAGCATTAAGGGGCGTACGATGTTGAAGTCTACAGATTCTTCTCTCCATCAAGACGTGATATGTTAGGTCATCGGGTCTTCCACTCGCGAAACTTCTCCTTCATAGATGGATCGATTTCAAGAACCGCGAAGTGGTGGGGAATGTGCACGTCGTACCAAACTTCGGCTTGTGTGAATCACCAGGTCATTCCCTGTTTGAAGGTTAGAGAGGGTCAAGAAGGACGACTAGTGAGAGCATGGCATATCAACATTGCGCCACAGAAAAGATATTGAGTCTGGTGGGATTTGATTCATGCCCAAAGCGCCTAACGTCTTAGTGACACTCGATATGCGAAGGCAGCGCGGCCTCTGTAGTGGCGGTTCACACACCCCACCTACGGGAGCGACCACCTCAGTAAGTCTGGACCTTGCATTTGACCGAAGCCTGTTCAGACTCGGTCATCCAGCTCATACTCTTTCAACCTTCTATTTTTCTCTCAACCTTCTTCTCTTAACCTCTTTTTTCATTTTCTGCTTAGTCCTGATCCGGAAAAAATGATATTTTCCTGTGATATTGTTCTCTCAGCTGAAAAACAGTTAGCTCCGATTCCTGATTATGTTTTTCAGGTGTACTTCTCAGTCATTGGACCAGAGTTGCCAAGTCCTTGTGGAAACTGCACTGATATCAAAACGCACTACGAAAACACCGCCTTGAACAGACTTGCACATGTTATTTCATTTCTGACAGTTTTTGTTATGTTCTGATTTGTATAGAATTCAATCATGTGTGAAATTTCAGAATTTTTTTGATATTCAATCATGTTTCCTGACAAATGAGCCCCTATTTTGAAAGTCCATTACGCGCATATACATGTACCGTTATTTTGTATTTTTGTGTTGTCTACAGGTTACACAGAATAACGAATGAAAGAAAAATAAGTAGCGAAAACTATACATGATGGTGAAGGTCACCTGCGGGACAAAAAATTCAATTTGTGATCCATGCAAAAGTTACTCTAACGCTCGAAGCGATCAGGACACCATTTTTCTAGAAAGCATGCCCGGGATCAATTCGATGTGGTTCTTGCACACAAATACGAATGTATTACGAATTGGGCCGGCAGTAAAAAAAAACCAGGAAAAAAATTGTCAAAAACGCTAAGGTTAAGAGCTCGTTTACCTCAAATTCAGCTGATCTCACACTTTGCGGATCGATCGATTCGCTATCTAGCAATTCGCAAAGTCTGATGTCGGCTAATGCAGCTGCGCTATGGCTGAGAGCCAGAGCGCGGAGAGCATGAGGCGAGAAAGCGCTACAGACGAGAAGACGCCAGACAACAGTATGATAAAAAAATTGCAGCTGCAGCAGCTAACTTCACAAAGCCTCAAAGGCCTTCGCGGGAGATTTCCAGGAGTGCCACATATGCAAATGCCCTCTAGAGACCGAAGGGAATCGTTCACCTGATTCTGCTTGGGTTGTGTCTTGAGCCCTTCACAAAGCTTCTTCAAGTTCCCGAATCTTGGGATACCTGATAAAATGGGTTTCGCATATGACGGCTAAATCCTTACCATTAGATTAGGGTCCGTGGCTGGCCTGACGTTATTGTTCTGTCAATTGCGCAGAAGGGGGTACCCCAGAAGGCCCATCGCGCAGCAGGAAGGCAGAGTCGGCGGACGAGTCGCGGCGCGTAATGTGTGATGAAGGACGTGCAATGGGACATTCCACTTAACTTGCCGCGATTTCCCTGATACGCGCGCAACAAAGTCCGCTGACTCCCTTCTCGCCGCGCGACGGGCCTCATGGAGGATACCCTGCAGAAGGCGGCCCCCTGCCTTCAAGTCCACCTTGTTCGCAAATTGACAAGGTTTGAATGACTCGAACAGCGTAGATGAAAATGTCAAGCTTGTTAGCGGACATTGCTCAATAGCGCTAGCGATCCCATTAACCACACCTTGCTTTCTAAAACAACTTAAATCAACTAAAACTTTATCTTCAACACAAACCCAACCAAAAAAGAAACTGTTAAAAATCAATATTTAAAAGAGAAGTGAGCTTCGATGAATATTTTTTCTGACATAAACGATGCTCTTCTCAAAATCCTGCCGCATAGTTGAAATCGACCGCTCGGCCATCTACGGCGCCCACAAGTCGGCCGTCAGGTAGCCGTCGCCGTACGGCCATAGCCACTCTGTCTACATGGGCAACATTCGACGTGTCCACCGGTAGGCAACTCGTCATATTTGCGTAGTTTTGAATCGCTTCCAAAAACTTCTGAAAATAATAGTGGTTAAGCAGTTGATCACTTTGTTCAGAATTGCCCAGATCCCTTTTCATGGTTGGCCAGGGTTAGAAGATGCAAATTTTTCGTTTCCTTGATTAGGGGATGTGTTAAAGGAGGATCCCACGATAGGGGCAGAGGTCCAAGAAGGGACAACGTAACTAGTGGAAAGACAGGTGGACTCCCCAGGGGTGCGGACTGACACGCGAATCACATCGATGCTGACGAAATAGCACGCACTTTCCCACGGCCCAATTGACACGCTATTGGCCTGGTACATCCCCCTTTCGTGTCATCTTGTGTCTGAGCCTCTAACCGTTTGACAGAGCGTTAGTGTTGAAGAGGGCATCAGCGATGAGAGTCGCATCAATGCGGAAATCAACGGGCAAGGAAGGGGTCCCATTTCTCGGGTTCTGGGCCGTTTCTCATGGTTTTTCCTTCAGCCGTGCACCACTGACCGCCTCTAATTTCATTTCGAATGAGCTGCCTTTTCATCGTAAAGTCCGTCAGGAATGATGTCGTACAAGGGAATGCTTCAAAGTCCCCTCGGAACTTCGAAAGAAGACCTCTGTTTGTCGACAGAGTCTGAAACGCTGATCACAAATTGACACGAAAACTGCTGCAAGGAACATCTGAGACTTGTGAGCCTTCCAACTTGGTAACGGAACATGTATGAGGCAAGCTTAATGTCTGCAATCACGGTTTCCGTGGCGCAGTGGTGGGCTTCTCGCTTTGCAAGTAGTAGGTTATGAGCTGCTTCCTGACATTGCTCGAATTAATGCATATGTAGTTGCGATTTGCATACACCGGAGGGTTTTAGTATGGAGGGTGATTGAATGATGCTTAAATTGTGCCATATTTTGGTCTTACCAGGAAAGGCATTCAACTTCCCATGGAACTTTGAGATGAGACCCAGATATATCGATAGAGCTTCAAACGCTGATTACAAATATGGAAACTAAAACTGCAAAATGAAAGGAAGTTGTGAGCAGTCAAAGTTGGCTGGAAGTAAAGCATTACACTAGCCTCCGGGCTTTCAAAGTCGCCGTGGAGTAGTGGTAGTGCTCTCGGAATTTGCGCTCCGACGGGAGGAGAGCTTATGACCTCCAGGGTGAATAGCGAGGGCACCACCACTGCTCCGCGGCGACTCTGAAAGCCCGGAGGCTAGTGTATATGCTTTACTTCCAGCCAACTTTGACTGCTCACAACTTCCTTGGCAGGTTCATTTTGCAGTTTTAGTTTCCATATTTGTAATCAGCGTTTGAAGCTCTATCGATATATCTGGGTCTCAATTCAAAGTTCCATGGGAAGTTGAATGCCTTTCCTGGTGAGTCACAATCCCTGTCACTCGCAGGCTAGTGAAGCCTTTAGAAAAAAAACCATGATGTCGAATTGGCTTCAGGCGGCCACTAAAAACGAGCTTCATGACACTTACGGACACTCACGTACTTCTATGAGCAAATTTTTTGCAAAAATTGAGATTTTGCACTGGCTTAGAGAAAGTGGTTGGCTATAGGTTGATTCTCAAGTCGCGTCAAGCACCATAGCGGGACTTGGAGATGACCAGTTACGAAAAACTAGCAGTACATCTGGATGATTGGCTACGAATGAATGAATGTTTCCCTCTGTGGGTACGTCTGACATCACGTCGAGGTCCTCGAAACTATCCCGTCAATCGACAAAAGCCCTCAGCTGGTGTCAGACTTAGCCAGCCCAGCGACAAAGCACAAGCCAGCATTGCACCAGCGGATCAGAATATGTACCAATGGATCGAGCTATGAAGTAGCGGATTGAGTGAGCCATGCCAGATGGCTATTACTGATTCAAGTCAGGGGTAGGAGGCCTTTTCGGCACCGTGAGTTTCTGAGGCACAATGAAACCTTCTGCTATATGTTAAGCACAGTGTGCAAAAACTTGAGCATCAGCGAGGGGCAAACTCTTGACCTACAGCCTGCACAGCGAAGACCCCATCGCTACGCTGAACGTGAGGCCACACAGGTTGGCTTGCTTCATCATCGTTCTTTCGCCGACTTTGGATGCTCTCACCTTTCTAAGAAGTTTGGGTACCAGTTTTTGTGTCCATTTTTGTGATCAGCGCTCGAGGCTCTGTCAATGGACCTACTTCTTCTTTCAAAATTCCCTAATGAGTGTTTCTTCGGGCCAATCTGAAAACAATGGGTCTACCGGGAGAAAACCAGAAAATATGGCTGGTTTATTCAGAGTTTGATTCTTATGAGGATATTGACGCCCTCCGACAGAGGCTGTATCTATCCGATATTGGTGATACCCGTATCGAAAGATGACTGAGGCTCAAATCCCTGCCAAATGGGTGTCAATCAGGCCACATTGGTCCAATGAAGATAACGTAGGGTCTAAATCTAGAATTTTCGAAATTACCTCATCCTGATTTTCGCAATAGAAACCGCCTCGTACGAAATCATGAAAGGTTGCGTTGGCATTGATGGCAGCGCCGGGTTCTTCATCGAACAGCAGCATTCGAAGCACTGCAGACGCGACGGCTTCTACTGTGCGAAGGGAACCCGATGCAGTAGCGGCGATGAAGGCCTGAAAATAAGCCAGAGTTGCCCCAAATCCTATTGGCCACTTCCCTGCGCTGCGTCCAAGAGTGTTTCTATGAGAAGCAATGTCAATGATAAATGTGCTAAGCAAAGGGTGTCAGGTGTGTGTCGAAACGAAGGCTTTTAAGAAGCTCATCAACCCAGAAGCAACTGCTCAACTGATCGATGTTGTGCTTGTAACAGCGGTCTAGTTTAGATACACTTAATGCAGAGCATTTCGTAGCACTTGAGTTGGGACTACTATTTTGAAACATCTCCAATACGATGAATTGCACAAGATTCTAGCGAAACAATTTCTGAACAATCTGCGCATTGTGACTGAGCGCTTTATCTTGTTCCAGTAGCCTGTGTTTTCTACTGAGGTTCCCTCAGACACAGGCATCACCTGAGTTCGAAGTTCCAGATAAGTCTTACTGTACTTTCATATCATAAGCAGCAGAAGTCCGAGGTGTCTTTGAAGCAACATTTCCATGTTTCGGGGGTGACTGTAGTATCGGGCGGGGGGTGTGGTAGATTAAAGAACAGTTCAGGAACGGTTTCGCGGGAAAAAACCACCAATAATGAAGTTGTAGATGAAAACCAGACGATTAATGTATGAAAAACTGGAAAAAAACGTCGGGGAGGGTCTTAGACAGGTACTCTCCCTCTGCCGCTCAGCAATGGATAAAGACGCACGTTGGACGAGTTGTCTGAACGTGCCCGCTGTAAACGCGCTCCATTTTTCAATCAATTTTCCCTGTGGTCCCAAAACGAGCACGATTGCCGACGCGTCCAATGACGGCCGGCAAGGGGGCGGGATTGGGGAAATCCCCAAGAACTGTTTGCTTTAAAACGATCACAATGATAAAGTGTGGATGCGAGTGATAAAAATGAAAAAGGCTATGAGGATATAGCCGCGATGAGCTAACGCTCGGGGCTGGCTTTTCGCCCGGATGTTTTTCTGCCTCTTGGAATTGCGGAAGTAAGGGGCGGCGAGATGAGCTGTTCCAGAATAGCTTCTCCGGACAGCAAACTGCACAAGCGGATAAGGGTAATAGCGCTGCAAGGCATATAAGGGAGAATATAGTTACGCATAATGTATGTGCCACCAAATACTAACAGAGGACATTTAGGACAAACAGAAGTACGGAACAATTTAAATGAGTTAAACAAGTAAACAAATAAAAGAGGCAGGGAGTATTCATTGTTAAAGGCATACCCCAGGATCACATTGGTGTGGCCCATGTGCACGAATGTGATTGTACTGGTGGGAAGTGGGCCGGCAGTAAAGAAAAAAGGAAAAGAATCCGTCAAAAACGCTTAGGTTAAGGGCTCACTCACCTTCCTGATCGGCTGTGCTAAGGGAATGAGAGACTAAGCGCGGAGGGGAGAGTATGAGGCGAGAGAGCACTACAGATGAGAGAGCGCCAGACAACAGCCTGATAAGAAAAAAAAGTCTGCAGCTTGGGCAGCTTACTTTGCAGGCCTAAGCGCTCTTATCGGTCGGTCTTCCGTGCACGAGGACGCCACATCTGTGATTGTCCTCTAGAGGTTCTATACTAGAGAGACCAAAGAGAAGCGTTCACACGAACTCTGCTGGGGTGTGCCTTTAAAGAGAAATAGGTCAGACGCAATCGTTGCAGAGCGGCATGGCCATTAGTTAAGACGAATGTCACGTGTGCGTGTGCCATGTTTGGGGGTGTGTTGGGTGTAAAGTGTGGGCGGGGATGGGTGCGAGTGGGTTTTAGACACTTATCTGGAGCTCTTTCAAGGTGAGATTTTGTTCTATATGATACTTTGTGTGTTTTGAATAGTGCTTAGGCATCATTTCCGGACATTAGTAGCGAAGCCACGGACTATTGCTGGAATGTTGCTGGTTGACTTGTGTGTTGCGTGAAAGGAGAGGGGTGAGGTGTTGCGGGGCGTGGTGTATTGGGTGGAATTTATGATGAGAGTCATTCGAAGGTATTAGGTGCAAATGTGTTTGTGGGGAGAGGTGTTGTTATTCTTAGATGCTTTAAGTTGAGAAGGCGAATGTGTTAGGGTCGAAATCTCGGTTGTTTGTATATCTTGAGGTCAAGCGTTGATACTGAGAGGGCTAGTTGGACCAGTGTCGTTTTTTTTTTTGACGAAATTTTTTCTCCTCAAAAATCTCAGGTTTTCACATTGCACGGTAGGATTTTGAAAGAGGATTCTCCACCTCACAAAAACATTGAATCCCTCCTGTAAATATCGCAAAAGCAGGCTTGAAGAGTGGGACATTCAGTGGACTAGAAGTAGCCAAAGTCTATGTTCCTTTAAAACCTTTAACGGTAGTGCCCCAATTTTTAGTCGCGGGGGGGGGGGAGGCCTTGCTGAGATCCACCGAGTTGCGTGTGTTGTTTTCTTTGCTAACTACTTTTCTTACGGACCGCGATACAAGGTAGATTTCTAAGCCAGAATGCCCCCCCCCCGAAACTTCATGGGGTTATATAATTTCATACATCTACGAGAGCTCTTTTTCTGCGCTATTAAATTTCCGTTTTGATTCCTCATTCGTTATGGTTCTGGTGAAACTTTAAAGTTGCTCAGTCAACGAGATCGATATACTACTTCGAAAATCAGTTTTGTTGATGTGCAACGTGCCGGCTCGGATGCTTTCAGGTCGTTCTGTTTTCCAATAGAGAGGCTGGAGCAGGGTCAAGCGTGCGTTGAGGAATCCTCGACACGTCGCAGGGGGGGGGGTCGTATTGGCCCGCTGGGTGGAAGAGATCGAGCCATTTTGATGCAGTGGGATCATCACCGTCGGAAGACAAATATCAAGGATGAGTCGATGCCAGGCCAGAGGATTTCCAATGAAAATGATATTTCACCCACACAAAATTTTCGTGATTCTGAGGCGTCCGGTAATTCTTAGTTACTTCAGTGTTTTATCACCACACAAGTTAAAGAATCTGAATTTCGCACGCTTTCCAAGAGATATTTCATCTTTCAAGTAAGACCCCGAATCTGAAGGGATGTGAGGTACACGGCGCATCCGAGAAAGGGTCTAGTTGTTGCGCGCGCTTCAACTACGGCTCCTTGGACAAACAACCTCAATTCAGGAACAATCGAGAGAATTCTGAATGTGTCCGTGCGCATTTACAGGGAGGTGTACACCATTCAACATTGCGTTAACGGACTCTTCAGGGTTAAATTTATAAACATGTAACCTTTAAAGTTGAGAAACGCTAATCAATCACTTTTCTTAGGAAGAGAAAAGCAGTGATTCCAAATCTGCTCTTACTTTAGTACATAATCGCCCTTAAAAGGATATACAGCCGTTGAAATAGTGCCAATGTAGCGAAAAAGTACCTTTCGGCGGTACTCGTGCAAAATCCTCAACGTAGCCGTTTTTTTAATACTGGACGTTTGGAGCAGTTCTAGTAAGCATTTGATAGAGCAAATCTTCTAGTTTATGATGGCGTATTTACTTTTCGGATTGGATGAGTTTGAACGGAGTTATGGCTTTAGAAAGTGAAAAAACTCGCACCATCACAAATTTTCCTCGTTAATTTTGCAAAAATCCTCAACGTGGGCTCGGGGGTCGTTTTTTGGCGCAGGTGACTGGATTCGTTGGTTAGATGCATGCGTTTAGCAATGGTTTGGTAGAGAAATTTCTTAGGTTTTGTCTGCATTATTAACTTGTTTTCGAAGGTTGAGCGAATGACGCATGCGTGGTGTTGTTGCTTCGGAAAGTGTAAAAACTCGTGCTCATCTCTCGAATTTTCCTCGTTAATTGACCTAAATTTGTTATTTCTTATAACTTTTTGTAATTTCAATACTGATTAGAAAAAGCTCCTTCACAAAACTTCCAAATCTGCTTTCAGATTGAAAATTCGTTAACTTTGAAGAAATGTTATATAATCGTTTGAATATTCCGGTTGCAGGGTGCGGATTGCATGAATTGAAGCGGTTGGCTCGCACGGTCAACGCCAAAGTCCAGTCAACACAGCTGGCGAAGGCTTTTACAAGGCTTCTTTCGAGCGAAAGGGGGACGTGTAAATTGAGAATCATAATCTGTGTAGTACTAGAATTTGGTAAGTCTTGTGGAGGAAATAAATAAAGAAGAGATGTTGTCATGGTATGCCATTTTTAGTGACTAGTAGTGTGTTTTCTGGTCTGTTTCGTTAGTGTTGGTTTTCTTCGTTTTTGCTCGTTGGTTAGACTCATACAGTAATGGATTATTCTTTAGATTTTTTCTTTGTACTTTTTTTTGTGGGCGGTGGGGTAGCAGGGCTTTTTTATGAGCAGTTTTGGGGGAGAATTAAACAAGCTTTTCAACCTTTTCATAGTTCGGCTTTTGAAGAGGGTTGTTTCATGGACTTCGGCCTCCGGCGGAGGGTGGTGGGGGGGGGGTCGTATTTCCAAATTTTCCTCAACGCCTCGCTTGACCCTGGGTGAACAAGGTCGGGTCTAAGAATTCTGTCGCTTCGACTTGAGGAACGGAGGGGCTCTCAATGCATTTGGTTGCGCAGAGACGACAATGTTTGAGCGAGTTGCATTACGTTTTTTTCACACCAGATTAGTCCCCCGTCAACCGCCGGGACCTTCCTTTCCTGCGCAAGCTTTCTATCCTCCGCTATGGTCCCTTCCTCCTGTGACACCAACACCTGTGGAAGTGACGCGTATGCAACACAATGGTGTTTCATACAGTAGAAGGGACACAATCATGATATGACGGTAGATTTTTCGCTTCCCTTCTCCTCCTCTCCTTCCTTCTCCACTGCATCGAATGTATCGCCGCTAGGTTATACGCAGGAACCATGTGGAATGAACGGAAGTGTGCTAAGCAGGTGTTTATATAGCCCTGAGAGTGTTATCACAACTATCCTGCTACAAAACATTGATATCTCAAATCCTGTAAGCTACCCGATTTGTTAGCGGTTTGTTTATCCCATGAGCTTCCTTCTCACTCACTTCATTTTGCGGACGGACACACATACATACACACATACAGATACACAAACCGACACACAAAGTTAGCGCTCTATAATATAGAAGGATATATTCCTGAGATATTGCTTGTAGAGTCAGGAGGCGATCCTCCTACTTCTGGATATATTGGCTCCAACAACCTGCCTATGGAACTTCGTAATGGCGTTGAACAAAAGATTCAGACAAACTCTAAATCGTTTGCACTGTTACACCAAGGAAAAAATCTTCGGAGCAAGTGATAGTTTCTAGCAGAGGTGAAAATTTGTCCATTCATCTTCTCACGCTGTGCTAGCTCAAATGGTAGGAGTTACGAGACTTTTCTTATTTGCCCTGACTTCTCCAGGAAATTTCTCGTACTCCTAAGGAGCCGGTTCCACGAGTCAGACTTCCAGTAACCCTATGCTCTGAAAGTGTGAACACGGGATAAGGTTTCCTCACTAAAACCCCTCTGAAAGGGGCCATCTCCACTCAAACTCAGACGAAGCGCTGCTCATTCCTAGCTGGTGCTCAAAAGTATACAGGAAGGATATGATACGCGACATTTTTCAGCAGGCACATTTCTGATTATATTTTCTCCTTATAATTCTTGGTCTTCGAGGTTAAGAGAAACTTACAGAATGGTGCTTGCTCTTGTCCACAACTATCAGACCGGCTGCTGATGTGATTGCATTGCGGTGATTTGCGGTGAATTCTTCAGGATTATGGAAAGGTCGAACGTCCGATATGTTGAAGAACTTGCTCAGAAACCAACTGAAGAAAAAAATTGAAAATTGCCCGAAATAGACTTGCTTTGTCAATCTTCCTACCAGAAGTTCAGAACAAGCCGAATCTCATGGGTAAATTGAGGTTGTAAGGAGCGGTGTCAAACTCACAGGCACAGCGAGTAGAACATGTTCACTATCTAATCCACACAGTATAAATTTTCTATATTGATTGAGAAATCCTAGCCCAGCCCTTCCTAACCATTGTATAGTCCGAAAAACCTCTCATATATAATTGCAAGTCCAACACGATTTTGAGTGGATAACGATATCTCCAGGGACGGTAGTAAAGTCCCCTAAATAGACAGTCTATAGCTGGCCAATAGGTCACGTTGATCTCGCCTTCGTCGGCACTCAAAAAGCATGGGGAAAGATCGGAAATTCACGCTGACCTCCCTCGGAGGGCGAGGTCTATACCACATGTTAAGTGGCGAACGTATTAGGTGGCACCTAGCCCAGGCGGCGAACCCGGCAGAGAAAGGGGAAAGCGCGTGGAGATCGCAGACGCAGAGGGTCATGTACAGGGCGATTAAGATGTACCCCTGAGTAC